CATCCGTCAACATTGAGATCGGATCAAGACCTTCAGTCATTGGAATGGGGACCTAAAATAATAAAGGTTAACTTAGAAATGACTAGTTTCAGTGACTTGTCCTTTTAACAATACATCACCACTCAAGTCTGTCTGTACAATGGGGTGACAGAGAGGAATGTAGCAGGATCAACAAGAGTACAAAGAGATTTTGCACATTGATCACACTGATTTTCTAGCCTAAGAAGCACAAAGGTTTATAGAAATTGTGCATATTAAATGGCAGAGGCAAAATCTTAAAGGATTTACTACCCTTATCTGTCACAAGAGCCCTGATTGATGGGAACACAAGCATGGATGAAAACTTCCCCCACTGGTCCCAGTCCTGAATTCCATGCATTTGCATGGAGACTACATATGCAGATACCTCCAAATGTATGTGAAGATCCTCTATTTTACTTATAACCAGATAGAAGTTTTTGACACAGCCAACTTTGCCATTAGGCAGAGTGAAGCAACTAGGTGCTGATAGGGGCAGCAATGGCAACCCTTATCAATTCTCCTGAGTGCATGGCTCTTCTTGGAGGACATATGGATCTACCTTGAGTCCACTAATCAGTGGAGGATGTTTGCCTGTTAAAATAGATTTAAAAATTCTCACTCCAAATTGGCTTCTGAACATGGAATGGGGAAGAAACAGAGAAATGTCATTTATGTGGCAATTAGACTTGAAAGAAATGCAGCTATATATAATTGCTATGCAGATGTGGGGCTAAAGATGAAAAAGCTAGAATGTAATGGTATTGGGCTGCTGAGTTTCCATTCATGCTATAAATCAGAATTCATATCCTTTTTGATATATATACTAAATATTACCTTATCTAAAAGTAAACAGTTTTTTTTAATTGACAATACATAATAAGCACTGCTAATGAATGGTTTTCAAAAATCATTCCCCAAAACATCTCAGGTAAAGATTTGTATGTTTCCACATTACCTTCTGGCTTCTTAAGAAGGGCAGCCACAGATTTTGAACCAGCTCATGCCGATACCACTTTGCAAATGGGCCAGCATATGAAATAAAAGCTGCCGTTAAAAGCACATCTCCACACAGTGTCTTCTCTTGTTCATGATACTGTGCTACTGACTGACCCCATCTCACATTCTCTGACTAAAAGGTAAAGATCACAGGTTAATTCACAATTCCAGCTTAAAATAACAATAAAATTATTTTCAAGCAGAGAGAAAGACACTCAGGTTCTGTTTCATGTTTTATGTTTTAAATATTTCTGCTGTGAAGAAACAGCCTGGGTTAAAGGCTCAGTACCATATAAAAAAGTTTGCATCTGTTTGCAAAAGGAGATGACAGAAAAGTAGGTCTCCCAGAGGAGGGTATTCTACTGTTCCAGGGCCAACACAGAGAGAGCCCTGCTCCTGCCCGATAACATTATTGCATTGAAACAAAATGGTTTTGCTGACTAATTTTGACTTAGCATAAGGAAGAATGTCTCCCTAATACATTCAAGTACTAGATAATTTAGGATTTAAAAGATTAATACCAGTATTCCGAACTGTATCTGGAAACAAGTAGAATCTAATAAATATGCTTTAAAAGATACATAATATGACCATACTGACTTATACATATCAGCAGTCTGTTCACTGCCTTCAGAACCAGATGAAGTTTTCAGACCATCTTCAAACTGTGCTACAGTAACCAAAATGTGAATCATATCAAACAGCTCTCTCAGTATAAACCATATGTCCTTGTAGTCTAAACTAATCCAGCCTAGACTGCTTGCTACAATGTGTAAAAAAATACAATAAGAAAGTCCATATTAAATGAATGAAATTAGTCTATTCCTCCTGGGATTTCAAAACAATGAAATGGCAACTTCATTTGTACATCAGTTTTCCTTGGTAGAGCATGTTCAGCACCTGAATACAACATGATAATCTGTTATTTTCTTTAACTAGGTACATTGTGATCTGGGGAATACTAGGAATGGAGCAGGATGTATATCCAAAATGTCTGTCCAGATATAAATGTCTGTTCAATACCCCATTGCTTTTTATAGTTGTTCATTCAAATGAGCACTTAATAATAATAAATTTCATTTGTATTCTGCTCCTCTGTCAAACAATCGGGGCAGCTTACTTGAATTTGCATCTCCTCTGTATCATGGTGCAACTAGTCACATGTAAAGCAAAACTAGTTTATATCCCCAAATTGTTAGCAAGTAGCACAGTCTTCTCTCACTGCAGTGTGTTAAATATACAACATGATGCATTTGAAAATAAATTCCAGGCAGATTTTCAGGCTGGGTGGGGGACTGGTGAACACCACCACCCCTGCCATTCACAGAAGGCAAGAGTGGCCTTTTTGTGAGTGGAATTTTACTACAGTGATAAATCCAATTCAATATAGTTTTGCAAAGTTTATGGTTCGCTCTCCACATCAGCACCTGAATATAGTTGGAATTAATTTCCATCATGAGTAAAAAAGCACAATCAATGCGCACACATCAAAAGTTAGGGGCCAAGATACTAAGATGCAAGGATTTGGTTTCAAGGCACATTCAGGCGTTGGACTCCCTTTTATCAGATTACTATTACTATTACTATTATTATTTCACCATGATTTATCCTTCGGCTTAATATACACTTTGCACATCCCAGAGAAAAAAACATTAGATAATTGTTGTATTACTTAAATAACTAGTACAAATCATACTGTGCTCTCGAGATCCAACCAAGGCAGTTATTTTAAGAAATGTTCAATTGTTGGCTTAAAGCATCTCAGACTTATAGCATCTTTTTAAAAAAAAAGTGTCTGTTGCCAGCACCCAAGGTTGCAATTCCTCTTCTCTTTAATGTTCTTGGACATGTTAGTTAGTAGGTAATCTTGCAGTTAATATATGCAGCAACGAGGCAAAATGTAAGAAAACGTAAAGGTCAAAAACATGTTTCCTTTATGGAGAAAAATGAATGATAATGACATAATTTTTTTCAGCTCATCAGGTTCTTTGCTAAGTGCCTCTGTTATTGTCAGATCACTAGTGTATAACAAAGACATGCTTTCTGTAGGCTGCTTCATTAGCCTGCCCTGTAGGACCTCACCTCCAGACCTTTCACTAATCTGTTGGCCAGCTCAATAGTCTTGTTAGTTCTATTCACTTCTTCCTGGCAGTGGATTTTCTCAGCTGTAGCCCTCTCAAAGGTGGTAGTGAAGGCAGCCAGGTTTGTGTCTAGTTCCTTTAGATAAAAACAGTAAGAAATCAGTCTAGACATTGTAAGGACAAGTAGCAAGAATGTCAGTGCTGTCTTATTTTTATATTGTAGGAAGTGAAATTATATAGTCAGGAAAAAGTGGAAAACATGATTGCTCTTGGAAAAAATCTGTTCATTTCACACAATCACAAGGAGTTCTAAAATTAGCTTAACTATTATAGTAATGTTTCTGTATTTTGCCAACACATCTGTATACTTTAATTCATTAAAAGTGTCTAAAGTGATATTCTCACAACTCACTTTGTGCTTCTTTTCAAAGAGGGTATCATTAATCTATCTCCCATTCAACCGGTTTGAATGGGGTGAACCAGTTCTCAAAGTTAAAGTCACGTAAGCTGCCAATGGATGACCAACAACCAAAGTACATGTGTGGTGAGCTATTCTGATGACTGGTTGTGCAATTTAATCCTGGTTGTTTAAATTCAACAACAAAAACAACAACAAAAATTTGGAGTGAAATCAAACCTCCAAAACAACTTGTGTCAATTATCCTGTATCAGGCCATGGCATCAAGTGTGAAATTAGGCTCAATCAGGCAATGCAAGAGTATTTGGAAGTTATTCCTTGCCTCAAATCCAATACTTACACATGGAAGAAACTAAAGAACTAAGAGGATTTTGCTCACAAAGGAAATTTACCTCCTTGTGTACCACCAGAGAGCTCCTGACAAACAATTTGTTTTCACAGTAATTTACTGATACAGAAGAGAAAACAGCCATTGCTTTGAGACTGAGAGTCTCCTTTGGGAGCTGGGATTTAAGGCTTACTATATTTCACAGAAGATCTTTTAAAATACTGGAGAGTGTTCAATTATTTTCACAGATACAGGTTTTTAATTCAGCCATCCAGATAGAAGAAAAATATACTAATATGCAAAGACTGAAGTAACAGCTTATTTTTTAAATACACCTTTAAAATAAGTAAAAGTCTGTGTATGTAAGAACTGGACAAGGTCAATGTATATTGGCCTCTACCATAGGAATAATTAGGACAGGGGTTTCTATTTCAAGCAGTGACTTGTTCTCAATTCTATGGTTGTGGCATAATTTCATTTTTGCATTCTAGAACTTTGGCCCAAAGCAACTGCAGTGTGTTAAAAAAAAATCCCCCCCAAAGATGTACAAAATCCTGCTGGTGATTAATGAAAGGGAGGAAGAATTTGAGTTCATCTAAGTAAAAAAATATGACCTGTGGAATGGTGCCAGAAGCAGCAAAACCTCTGGTGGGCTGGTGAGAAAGAGCTGTTTAGGGACTTGAAATTTGCCTGGGGGCAGCATTAACTTACCTAAGCAATTTTCTAAAGATTTCATACTATGAAATATGGGCAAAGAAAATGTATGCAACTCCATTTTGAAGACTGCATATTCCTTTTGTCTTTGAGATTTTCTTTAAAATATTCACCCTGCTTGACTTCTCCTCCATAAAATGATAAGTTGGGCAGGATAGTGGAGGAGAGAAGGTAGAGCAATTTAATTTAGGGAACTGGACAGCAGAGGTGCTTGATTTCCTTGAAAAGATTCAAGGGAGCAATGTTACAAGCAAAAGAAACTTGCATGTGTGATAGACTGTGTCAAAAATATTTCATTGCTTCACACTAACAAAAGTATGCACTACCCTTGAGACCTTGTGTGACCATATGGTGGTGAATTTCTTTACACAAAGATTCCTATACATATCTGCTCAGAGGTAACCCGCACTGAGTTTAAGAATTTAATCCCAGGTATATGAGAAGCAGCATGGTGTAGTGGTTTGAGCATTGGGCTACAACTCTGGAGGCCAGGGTTTGAATCCCTGTTCAGCCATGGAAAGCCATTGGTGACCCTGGGCAAGTCACCCATCTTTAGCCTCCAAGGAAGGCAAAGGCAAACCCCTTCTGAAAAAATCTTGCTAAGAAAACCCTGTAATAAGCTCACCTTAGGGTCGCCATAAATTGGAAACAACTTGAAGGCACATAACAATGAGAGAACAAGATTATACCAAAATCTAAGAGATGGTACCAATCAGTTAGCCATGAAAAATCATATACATTCGCTTGTCCGTTTTCACGGGGGATCCATTCCAGACACACACATACCCTCGCAAAAATGGAAAACTGCCAATATTCAAGCCCCATTGCCTTGAATAGTGCATGCCAATTGGGTGCCCATGGGTGTGCACCATGAGCGTGTGCTCCATTTTGTCCCCTCTATTTGCCACCCACGAATGGGCAAGGGACGTGGATTTGAAGTCCACAAAAATGGAGGGGTGACTGTCCAATGCCTCAGCTAGCTACAATATGGAATAGTCCATACTGGTTAGTGCAATCTGCTTGTAAAGTTAAATTGCATTTACCTAAATTGATATATGAAGATAAATACTATTTTTTTATCTTCTGTGAGATGTATGCATGATATAGACCAGTGATGATGAACCTTTGAAGGGCTGAGTGTCCAAACTAAAAGGCCTTCTAGCACTGGGTGTTACCAAGTGCCAGGAGCAGGACTTCCATCCTCCAGGGCAGGACTTCCAGGGTGGGACTTCTCCCCCCACCGCCCAGGCCTTCAGCTGCCTCTCCAGAAACAGTTGAAGGCCTGGGTGGGTGAGGAAGGAAGAAGTGGAATAGGTGCGTGCTTCTTCCTCCTCCTCCCCCTACGTCGTCCCTGACCTTCAGCTGCCTCTTCAGCTGCCCAGTGAAGGTTGGGAAGGAGGAAGAACAGGCATGCGCCTCTTCCCCCTCCTTCTCCCACACCATCTCTGTCCTTCAGCTGCCTCCAGAGAGACAGCTAAAGGCTGGGGAGGGTCTGGAAGGAGGAACAAGCATGAGCCTCTTCCTCCTCCTCCTCCCCCGCTCTGGAGAGGCAGCTGAAGGCCTGGGATGGCTGGGAAGGAGGAGGAACAGGCACACACCTATTCCTATTCCTCCCTGCCCTCCACATGCCAGGGAAAATGAGTTTGTGTGCCATCACGGATATAGACTATGTACACTTTATCTGAACAATGTGCTTTTTAAAAAAACGATTAAACCTTCAGTCCTATAGCCATAACCTAAGATCAAGCCATATTGAACTCAGTAGGATTTACTTCATAGTAGACATGTATAGGATTGTCATTATCTGATTACACAATTTCCCTTCTTTTTCTTGAATTACCAATAAGACATGTCCCTTCCCTTGCATTTTGTGCATATCAATATGATTAATTTTTAAAGTGCCAAAATCTCTATCTCTCTCTTTTAAAGCATTGGCCTTTTCAAAACAAGGGGAAATTCGGTATAGTTTCAGTGCCACAGTGATCAAACAGTGTCACATCACTATGGCAATTGGTGCCCAGGCCAGGAATACAGATCAGCTTTAATTGTGCAACGCCTTATTGCTGGTGCATGTCAATCAGAACCTATGAATTGAGAAAAATTTGCTCTGTTCATTCTGTTAAATGATGTATCCAATTAAACCTGTTAGAATTCATGATCTTCAGTCAAGGTTAAATGAAAGTAGTTACTCCTGTCAGCTAGGTGATTAAATGCTGCCTACATCAGGCACATTTATGTGCAAAATTAAAATTTTGGTATAAAGCATGAATCTTTATGCATGCCAGTTAATTATCTTGCAGTTCCTTCCACTTATTAAATGCCCACTGCATTTCTTCTTAATCATTAGCTTCCTTTCAAAACTTGTTTCATACTCCACATTATACCAAATTTCAATGTTTAAATGAAACGCTCTATAAATGAAAACTTCCTCTTTTCACGGATTTGGCTGTTGCTACGTTACTGAAAGATAACCGTTATTAACAGTATTCCTTCCCCCCCAGTCATTATGCAAAAGATCTGTTTGTGTTGTGCAGCAGGATTCTGAGCCACGGTGATAGGAATCCCTTGTGTTATTGCAGCCTGCTGGTCATTTTTGCTTTCTTTAAACCTACCTGGGACTTCTCCTGTTCGTCAGCCAAGCATTGAGGTAGTAATATGCAAGGCTACAACACAACAATCAGCTGAGCAATAATAGGGAAAATGCTCAATACACCACTCCCCTCCTTAAAAATGGAACTGCTGAAAGCCTTCAAATATCAGTGCAATTTTTAATTTACTGAAGCAGGAGAAGGGGAAATATCTGTTTAACCATTTTAAAAAGTGCCATGGGCTCTTCTGTGAAACAGTATATTGCTATAAACTGTTTTGTTGAGATTTCTCAGTATGCCAGTATCCCTCAAAAAAACAAAACAAAGAACTATCTGGAGAGCAGGATGAAAAAGAGGAGGAAGAAAACTTTCTTCCATCAAAGGACATGTATTTCTGTAATTAAAACCTTGACAACAACGTGTCTTGGACTTCTTTAGGAGAAGAGTGGAGAACCTCTTCTTGCGCAAGGGCCAAGTTCAATTTCAAATATGTTCTTGGTAACCACATTCCAAGAATAATAATTCCAAACAACAACAACAACAACAACAGCAATAACAACAACAACAGCAACAATAAAAGAGATCATAATGCCAACTCTCATACACAAGACAAACTCATAGTCCACAGGGGAGAAGTGTGTGTCTGTTTGTGTGTGTATGAATTCTGTCATATTCTCTAACTGGTTTTATCAGTGGTTTGTTGATTTGTTTTGCGTGTCTGCATTTTATGATGGCATTTTAAAAGAGAATTTCTTTGTACATAAATAACAGAAAAGCTGGATGGCTGGTGTCCCCTCCCACATGTTGTATTTCTGTTATTTGTACACAATGATGCTTTCTTTTTAAATGCTATCATAAAATGTAGATGTGCAAAACAAACAAAGAAACAACTACTGATAAAAGTTTACAATTAAGGACAGAGAACTCATATGCATAACCACCTGGGAGTAAATTTCATTAAACCCAATAATGTTTACCTCCAACATCATTGATACGACTTAACAAATACATTGAACTTCACAAAAGATCTTCACAAAAACATTTTGTAAAGAACCGTTGGCATTGACCCTAGTGTGAAATATAATTTCTGGCAAAAAAAAAAAAAAGGGAGAAGAAATTATCCAGTCTCTGCTTTATTATTTGCCTCATTTCCTGACACACAAGCAATGGTCACAAAGCAGAGAAAAACCTGACAGTTTTGTTATCGCTTCATCCAATGAGAAGGGAAGCCTTGTGACATTGGTCCAAAACACACTGCAGAAATAATCCAGTCTGAGACCACTTTAACTGCCCTGGCTCAGCGCTAGGGACTTCTGGGAACTGTAGTTTATTGTGGCACCAGAACTCTCTGACAGAGAAGGCTAAATGTCTCAAAAAAAAAAATACAGTTCCCAGAATTCCTAAGGACTGAGTTAGGGCAGTTAAAGCAGTCTCAAAAGGCATTATTTCTGCAGTGTGTTTTGGACCTTAGTTTGTTGAATTGTTGCTGTGAGACACCTGATGTTGTGTAGTTGTGAGAGACCAGTATGTGCCTTCAAGTCACCTGTTGACTTATGGTGGCCCCATGAATTTCATAGAGTTTTCTTAGGCAAGAAATAATCAGAGGTGGCTTGCCAATTCACCAGTGGTTCCTTATTAAAGTACTAACCAGGGCTGACTCTACTTAGCTTCCAAGATCGGACAGGATCTGGTGCCTTTAGGGTATTTACTCAACTCTAATTGTACTTATTCACTTGTCACAGTAAGAGGATTCATTAACTATGTTGGCTATAAGAGCCAGCCTGTCCAGACAAGCAGTTGGTGCTATCTACTCACTTGGTACTACTGCCAGTATCAACTAATATCATTATTTTCTGCTTTCAAGCTAGAAGTAGTGGACTAGCAAGAATGATTGAAAACTGGGGCAAGCAAGGTAATAAGGTCACTGGAAGACGTAGAAGAGATGCAGTAGAAGTAAATATTTTGCTAAAATATGTTTAAAATATACTTACTACAAGTGGGCACATGTGGAATGTAGCAGTGTGGTCATTTTATCATCCTACATGTTTAAACATAACATACACAAAGCAGGGACATATCATACAGAAAGTAGGATTAGACTCAGAGGAAGCAGACATCAAAATTGGGGAAAGGAACATCAACAATTTAAGATATGCAGATGACACTCTATTATCTGCAGAAAATAGCAAAGATGTGAAATGATTACTGAAGAAAGTGAAGGAAGAAAGTACAAAATCAGGATTACAGCTGAATATCAAGAAGACAGAAACAATGACCATAGATGATTTACATAACTTTGAAATGGGTAATGAAAACACTGAAATAGTTAACATTACCTATTCCTTGCCCCAGACAAAATGAAGACTGTAGTCAAGAAATCTGAAGATGTCTGAGACTGAGAAAGGCTGTCATGAAGGAACTAGAGAAGATGCTCAAATGTAAAGACATATATCTAAATAACAAATTCAGAATAATTTAGGCCATAATATTTCCAATTTCTATGCACTGTTGTGAAAGCTAAATAGTGAAGAAAGCTGACAGGTAGAAAATCAATATGGTGCTGGAGAAGAGTTCTCCACATACCTTGAACTGCTAAAAATAAAAGGCAAGCCTAGGACCAACTGCCCTTCTCACCACCATCAGAGGAGGA